CGTCCGACGTCTGCAATGAATTCGCTAACTCTCTTACACGCTACTGTTGTCGCCCAGTGATGATACAAAAGATACAACAAACCGTCCGGTGGACTGGGCTTTAGCTCGCCACCCTAGTCCTCGTCATCCTATAAATCGCATGACTCGATGACTCCTCTCGCGTGATATTACTGTAGCTACGGAGACTAACAATGTTAGACTGTGTTGCAGGCTGATGCGAGCAAGATGGTGCATTTGCTCAAGCTGTTCTTGATGAAATCCTGCTCCAACGTCGGCAAACATTTCGATTGATCGAGCCGTACATTACAGTTCATTAATGTACGTGCTCAATGTACGTACGATCCGATGATTTACAGCTACCATCACTCTCAAAGAGCTGCTCTCTCAGGGATGTTGTCGGCCAAGCGACTTCGGTCCAACCAGGCGCTGGACGCGTGGGAGGCTACGTCTGTGCTCCGGTCGCCCGACCTCGTCGCAATCATCATCGCATATCAAGAGGGATTACCCGGAGACATAGCCGTCGTCCAGCGCCTTGCCGACGCCGTCCAAATCACGAGGTGCTTCTCTCAGCGCCCACCAACCGCATACCTTGCCCACGTCCCCGCCCGGTTTGCGTCGCTGCCATACCTCCAGCGCTACCCACACTCGACGACCAAGCTGCCTCATCACGCGCTCTTTGTCTCGTCGGATGTCTACGACCGGGCCCTCGCGCATCATCTCTCCGTTGTCGAAGGTGACGTGGCGCTCGTCCAGCGCTGGCTGCGATGGGATGCCTCGCTGTGTACATCAGCGACGCTCGAGCTTGCTGCTGCTGCGTCTCAAGGTCCGATTCTGCGTCTTCTCTTCGAGCAGTTTCCAGCGCTGGCCACACCCAAGATGATGGACCTTGTCGCCATGTCGGGTGACCTCCCACTGCTCTTGTGGCTTCACGAGGCGGGCGTGGCGTGCACCACTGCCGCGATGGACGGCGCGGCCATGAATGGTCATTACGACATCGTCATCTTCTTGCACTCTGCAAGGACCGAGGGCTGCACGATCGCGGCGGCAACGGCAGCAGCCGTCAATGGTCATGCGTCGATCGTTCGGTTTCTTCTTGAGCAGCGCACCGAAGGCGTTGACCCGACGCTTCAGTTTTCACGACCACATGGCAAGCACAAGACGTGCAGTGTCAATGGTACGACGCCACTCGAAGCTGTCAACCTCGTCGCTGCGACCACCGAGTTGTCGGACACGGGGTTCACCGCCATCGTGGACAAGGGCAGTCTAGTTACACTGCAGTACGTCTATTCGCGTGGATACCTCAAACGAATGACCAACCAAGTGCTGGAATTGGCAGTCGCCAAGCAAGACCACGAAATGCTGCGCTACATCCTCGACTGCGTCGACCAAGAGAACCCGCTACGACCCAGCGATGAGGAGTGGCTGCCGCCAGTTGTCTGTGCCTGCGACCTGCACTCGCAAGTTTCAAGTGTATTGTTGGGGCCGTTCTCCAACGAATCGTTGCGTCGTCGTCCCTGTCAACATGACGAATGGACGCGATGCAAAGTGATGGAGCTGGCAGCCTTCAACGGCGACCTGGTGTCGCTCGAGCTCTTGCACAAGAGCCGCCTTCGCGTCGGTTCGGAGCGCGCCATCGTCTACGCCGCCTACCGCGGTCACATGCACGTGCTCGACTGGCTCCATCAAAACCGACACGATGGCTGTGGCGAAGACGCAATGGCTCTCGCTGCCACCGCCGGCCACTGGAACGTTGTGCGCTGGCTCCATGAGATCTACGGTCTATGGCGAACCCACGCCGCCTTGGCCACAGCGGCGTACAAAGGCCACCTCGCGATGGTGACGTACCTCTTGGGCGTACCGACGGACAGCTCGGG